AAGCACTTTACGGACATCACAACAACTCTGCACATCATATTTCTTGACTGCATGGTGCTGGTCCATATGGAACAAAGCATAGTTGCTTCTCTATTGCTTATGGGAACCATCCCGGCAGAGAATCTGAAGTCACAGCTGGTGGTGGGATTGTGCAGCTGTGGGCAAGGTAGCAACCAGGAGGCAGCAGTTAATGCTCAAACATATACTGAGTATGTAGACCCTTGGATCACATCCTGGTTCTCTGTTGACCAACTGAGCAATCTTGGCAAGCCAATCAACCCATTTGTACTTTAGGTTCTTCATGTGACTAAGAGATGAGAATTCATCTTGGATAAAATGAGACAATACGCAATGTACTTAAGACAGCACTGGGTATATAGTAGGGACTCAATAAATAGTAGCTCTTCTTCTTAGTGTTATGTGTAAGGCACAGTGCTGGGTGCTGTGAAGTACAGGAGTAAACAGATCAGGGTGGTGGATCTTGTCCGTCGACCCTGAAGGCAGAGGTCTGAATCCACGCACTCAGGTAAATTCCGTTTTAGCTCTAGGCTGTGATTCTGTGCTTTCAAGTTGGCACTTAGAAACCAACAACCATGTATGCCCTTCCCACATTGTAACAATTCAGGGCAGGCAGTTGCTCAGTTTAGAGTCACCAAAGCCTAGAGAGTAGGGATTGACACCTTTAAAAGGAATCCCAGGTAGGGAACAGCCCAACCAGGCAGCCGTGGTTTCTAAACTTAAGACTTGCTGTTGCCATGTGTATCTGCATTGGAAGAAAACCTCTAATTCAGCCCGGAGCTGCGATCATTAATCATTCAAAGGTGTGGTACGATTTTGACTCGAAGCTGGACCAGAGTCTCCGTGCAGGTTTGGGAGCAGTTACACTCTTGTGGTTTGACTAACCTTTTTTATGAGTGTGTTACTAAAGAAACGTGAGCTGTTGGCTTTTCAATTACTGTAGCTTACCCCTCCTGAGTTTCATACACATTGAGTCATCGTGTCTACAGGTGACTGATAATCATCTGCACTACTCAAGTTACCGTAACTCAGAGATGAGGGGATCTGATGAGTGCAGTTGTGCGCACGTGAAGATCTGAGGCTCTCCCAGCCTCCTAACAATGAACAATGGTCTGCGTTAACCACAGAACTCAGTCACATATTTCCACTCATCCAGGGGTTTATGTTCCTCTCCCTGTTTTGCCCCTTACAACTTCAGCACTCAGCTGTTTTCTGACCTGTGCTGCAGGTGGTACAGACAATGAAACTGGAGGCCTAGTTAAATAAAGCACACTCTTGGGAGAAAGGATAAAAGCAGGGTTTGTGATGTGCCTGCTCCACCCCAGAAACTTTCGGGAGCCTCTCTGTTAGGTGAAAAGATAAAAAGATTCCCAGGGGCCCCCAGTATCTGGGGACCCCGGTAGAGCTGGCCACACTGGAAAATCATCAGTAAACTTGAAAAGGCCAGGAAGCCAAAGTTCATCACTTCTGTGTCACTTTCAGGGGACTGAATATTTGTGACTTCAGCTGGCTTTCATGTTCTCAGTCTCATTCTTCCAAAGAGCTCTGATCCAAGATGTATTCAAGCTGGAAGCTGAAAAGAAGAACCATTGATCACTTTGGCAAAGATCTACTTTTCTGTTCCTTTTTATTGAGTTGCCAAGGCACAATGATTTTCTTCGGGTATTTTTTTCTCCCAGGTATCTGTCTGGAAACCATCAGGTTGGCCTTAAGGTAGTGGGGACGCAGACAGTTTCATCTGATTAGATTAGATCTTTTAGCTGGTCTTTCTGGCTCCACTTTCTCACTGTTCTGATCCATCTTATACATTGCTGTTACGTTAATATCCTGAAAATAACATTTTGACCACCGGCCTCTCTTGCTCAAGGGCCTGTCGTAGTTTGCCATTTGTCCAAATCTAAACCCTGCGATTGGTCATTCAGAAGGCCCGTCCTTGGTCCTACCACGTGTTATCTTTCTTCAATACCTCCCAAAATGTTGAATGCCAAGTGCCAGGAGGTTCGCAGGGCATTTGAAAACCCTGATCTACACGGCAAGAAAGTTATTTTCTTTTTAGTTCTCTTACAATCTCCCTGATTATACCAAGGAGAAAGATTTAGACTTAATTAGATGATAATTTTCTTCAACATAAGTCGCACACTTGGGAATCTGTTTTTAGCAAAGAGAGAGGGGATCTTTGTTTCCAGGTACTTAACAGTATGTGATCAAAGTGCAATAAATTGCTGTGTTTCGTTGTCTTTTTTTTTTCATAGTTACCTTCTGTTTGTGGCAAGTGATTCTGGTTTTCCATTTATGTTAGTGATATAAAGTTTCCTTAAAAAACAAGTTTCTTTTAGCAGAAAAGAAAGAAAATGTGAGGGGGTAGGGTATAGCTCAGCAGTAGAGAGCGTGCTCAGCATGCATGAGGTCCTGGGTTCAATCTCCCATTACCTCCATTAAATAAATAAACCTAATGATCTCCTGCCCACTCAAAAAAAAAAAAACCACACAAACAAAAAGTAATAAAAAGAAAAAAATTAAAAAAAAAAAAGAAAATGCGAGCTGATTCAAACAAAATAAAAAACCCAAACATTTACCAAAGTGCTTTCTAGGTGCCGGGCACTGTTCTCAGCACTCAGTTGACGTAGATACAATGATTACCCCCATTTGACATGACCACGCGGAGCCAGGTTAAGTAAGTTGCCCAGGTCACACACACGCTGTCTCATTACAACTAGTAATGAGACAGCGTGAAATCCATACCATCTGACTCTAGAGCTCATGCTCTCGGCCACCACATCACTGTGGGGTGTGAGTACTGCAGAACGTGAAGGGGTAAGTGAAGTTTGAGAACTGCTTTATCCCACACGTCCTGATACAGCTGGAGCCAGACTCGCCTACTCCTCCCTGCTCTCGTCCTGGCTGGTCGTACTTTCCGGGCTTCATTCACGCTCATCCCTCAAATAGGGTGTCTCTTCTGCCTCTCTGAAAATCTACACCCTACCAGCTCATCAAGACTCTTCTCAAACCTGAGGTTTTCCACGAACGCTTGCCCTTCCCCAAGTACTCCTGAATTTTTTTCTTGCATTCACTTAACATTTAACTATACATTTGGTACCAAACCACCCTGTCCTTGCCTTATAATTCTTTTACAGAAGACATGTTACCCACCAGCTTAAATACCTCAAACATGGCATTCAGAATAAAATCAAAAGCTTCCATGGAGCAAGACAGCCCTTTCACAACTTTTAACATTTACTTTTCTCCAATTCCAGGTATCCAGGTCTTACTTCTCTCCCCTTTGGATTGGAGAGGCCTCAAGAACAGAAACTTGGCTCTTCCAGTCCTTCCTGTTTTCTTGTGTATTTTCATCCCTGGACTCTTTACTGTATGGCAGTGACAAGTTTGGGAATCACAACATGCCTAGGAAATGTTAGAGAGGAGAGGATGTGGTTCGGCAGATCTCTCAGAATTCAGCATCTACAGAGTGGAAAAGCATCAGGAGTAACCGTAGCCTCACTTCCACCCCCTGCCACGTCTTCCCCGCCTTCTCTTGCCCCTTCCAGCCACTCCCCATTGCGCACACCTGCCCTCACTGCAGACCCCGCTCCTGCCTGCCCTGTGGCCAGAGAGCCTCTGTTTTCTAACACACAACACCCACACGCCCTAAAGGTGGCTAAACTCTGTTTTCAAAATTTCTCAGCAGTTTGACATGAGAACTAGGAGAGGGTGACCACAAATAAATTTTTCAGTTAAATGTGAGATAAGCCCTAATGATCACCTATGCATCAATGATACATCTTTTCAAGCAAAAGAAGAATAACACCCTTTGTGAAGAGGACAAAGATCATCGTGCTCTTTCATCGAGAAAGCCTTTCTAAAACCCTCTACACGTGAAACCCTTTTATTTAAATTTCAGCCAGGATGGTGACTGATGTGTTTGGGGAGTGGTAAGTTGGAGTCTAGGGGACTATTTTTTCTGCCTCTGCAGCTATTTGAAAAGCTGCCGAGGCCAGTGGCTGAGCATCCCCAGGTTTTGCAGCACTTCTGGCCCCCGCCTCCCTAGTATTACAAGCAGAAAGTAACCAGCAGGCTAAGAGTTCGGGAACTGACTGTCTTAAGAGTTCGGAACAGCAGAGGTGCAGAGGTCCCCGCACTCCTGCACACCGGTAGCTCCCCTGCCTGCTCCAAGCCCCCTCCTGGTGTCCTCTCGTTTCCTTTCTCTCCAGAGTTCCCTTCTGACATGAGCAGTGGAAACAGCTCCTGTGGTAGCCTCACTCTAATGACATCTCTCACTCTCCCTTTTGTCTGCTGGCTTAAGTTATTGTGACCATCCAGACGTGTGCCGTCAAGCACTGTCCCCTGAGCCGTTAGCACCGTAACGGAACCTGGGTTCGGCCTGGGCTGGGTCTTCCTTCGCAGGCCACTTGTCCTTCCTGTCTTTTCATGGACTCTGGAAAATAATCTTACAAACTGTCTGCCTTTGTGCCGTTCCTTCCGTCACTCTTTGTCTCCCTTGTTCTAGGTGAGAAGCGCCACTGCTTTGACGTCAGCTACAACCCCAGCTATATGTACGAGAAAGAGAATGAGATGATGCAGACCCGAATGATGGACCAGGCCATCAACAACGCCATCAGCTATCTCGGCGCCGAAGCCCTGCGTCCCTTGGTCCAGACACCGCCTGCTCCCACCTCGGAGATGGTCCCGGTTATCAGTAGCATGTATCCCATAGCTCTTACCCGAGCCGAGATGCCAAATGGCGCCCCCCAGGACCTGGAAAAGAAGAACGTCCACCTGCCAGAGAAGAGCCTGCCTTCTGAAAGAGGCCTCTCCCCCAACAACAGTGGCCATGACTCCACGGACACTGACAGCAACCACGAGGAACGCCAGAATCACATCTACCAGCAAAATCACCTGGTCCCTCCCCGGGTCCGCAATGGGATGCCACTTCTGAAGGAGGTCCCCCGCTCTTATGAACTCCTCAAGCCCCCACCCATCTGCCCAAGAGACTCCATCAAAGTGATCAACAAAGAAGGGGAGGTGATGGATGTGTACCGGTGTGACCACTGTCGAGTCCTCTTCCTGGATTACGTGATGTTCACGATTCACATGGGTTGCCACGGCTTTCGTGACCCTTTCGAGTGTAACATGTGTGGATATCGAAGCCACGATCGCTATGAGTTCTCGTCCCACATAGCCAGAGGAGAACACAGAGCCATGCTGAAGTGAACACCGGGCCCACAGGTGATGCACGCTTGAGCATTCAACAGCATTTTTAAAAACTGATAATACCCCCGCCTAACAAATCACTCTGAAAACAAACTCAGTTCCAAACCCCTTTCCATACCATTTTTTAGCATCCAAAGGGTCTCATTCACAGGGGCAACAGAGAACGGCTGTCCCCATTCAGAAGTTGTTTGCAGATACAACACGTTGCTACTTTTGTGAAACCTTTGTTCTCCCATCAGGCACTGGAATTTTATGATGTTTAAAAGCCAATGAAGTATCTGGTCATTATCTTTTGCAGCAATAGAACAGGTCTCCTTTGGAGTTTGCTGCCAACTGGAAGAGTCCCCTGGTTGTGCTGCATGAGACATTTCTTCTGAGCTACATCAGCCATATGTAGAAAAGCCTTTCTGTCACATGCTGTGGTCCACATAGAAGAGCTGACCAGCAGGCCTTGCTGGGAAGACCTGCCCTTCTGCACTTCACAAGGCTGAAGGGTTAGGATATAATTCCCCCACCTCAAATGACAGTCTAACAGTAAGGAAAAGAAAAGCCATAAAACAGGTTACCAGTAACCAACCCCTAGTCTCCAAGCATCAGATCCACTTAGCATACAAGCAAAAAAAAAAAAATCATCTGACATAAGACTTCTACTCTTTATCCTCTCATCTCCAATTAAAAGCTGCTCTGAGTCAAAGCATTCATGGAGAGGAGAAACTCCGTATCAGAAGAATCAATGGTTTACATACAGACCATCACTGGAACCCCAGGAGGTTTTCCACTGGGGGTGATGGCATCCATTTCTGATGATCAAGATTGGCAGGCGTGGTTCTGGGGGGTGGGGGTGGGGGAGAAGATTTAGCAGCAGCACCTGGGATGGAAGAGAGGCAGGAACCACCACCTGAAAGCATTTCATCTCCTTCATGGAGTATTGCTGCACAAACCCAAAGCAAACTTGCCAACGATTTTTTTGACAAAAAAAAACCCAAAAAAACCAAAGAATCCAAAAAGTATGACTTCATTTTCCCTTCCCCACAGGAAAGGAATCAGGGACAGATGCCATGATCAGAGCTGAGCCTCAGGATGGGGTGAGGAGGGGAGCACCCCTGCTGGCAGGCTCTCCTTGGTCAGGCAGATTGGGGTCCCACCCTCCCCCCATTTTGAGTGGAGCTGTTGTGTTCCACAAAGATTCCTGAAAGTCTGACCTTGGTTCTGCAGATGCGTCAGCCATCTTCATCATTAATTATGGGAGACATGCTATCAAGGAAGAGGGTTACGATAATTGTAAAATTAGCACTGGGATAGGAGTCATGAAATCTGTTCGCCAATTCCATATTTGCCACTAATTAGCCAAATAACTTGGGGCAGATGACTTAACTCTTAAAATTAAGTTTCCTCAACCATAGAATTAAGACTTGGATTGAGATGTTCTCTAAGATCCTTTCCAGCTTTAAATTTACGTGATTCTGCAGTAACCACAATTATTTTTTTTTAAACCTCTTAATGTAAGGATATTAAGCAGAAGAGGATGTATATGAATACATGTTTCGCATTGCTTTGGTGTGAAAAGGGTAGTATTGTTAAGTTTTTCCTTTAACCACTGAGTTGTGAGTGTGAGGAGGATGGTGTGGAGGAACAAAAAACAGGAAGGTATTTTGATCTTGCCCCAAAGTGTACACACAAAGGGGCACCTGCAGCTGCTTGCCAAAGCCTTTTCTTCTTCTTCTTCTTCTTTCCTTTTAAAGAACTCATGTTAGGGAAAATAAATTCTGCTTCCAGGGACAACTTCAGGGAACCTATTTACAAATGAAGAGTCAGCTGTGTGCACATTTCTACCAGAGCCAAGAATCCCGAATTCCTGGTAGATTAGCGTTTCATGTATCTGCCTTGATATTTCAAAAGGGCTTATGCATTAGGCTCGAACTCAACTCGTTTATGTGCTGCCAGTAATTAAAACGTTCCACCTCAGACTGCACAAATGGCTTAGCCTTCTTTGTAGCGTGGCGTCTGTCTCAGGAAAAAAAGACTTTGTGAAATTCCATGGCAACGGTCCCAACATGTTTGAGATTTCAGCGAAAAGACTAGACGTATTTCGGTGTGTAGTCTCCAGTACATCACTGTATTTCTGTAATCCTGGACTACGGCTACACCAGGTTGCTTATACCCATTGTGAAAGAGGAGCTGCTCATTATATTCTTGAAATAGCACACATCCTGTTGACTCTTCAGGGGACAAAAGAGAATTTGGAAGCAAGGATTAGTAGGAGAGAAAGCTAGGGGAAGCGAGCACTTCCACCGGATTAGTGGGAAAGTCTTTAATGAAGAGACCAACTTCTGCACCTTAAGATAGCGAAACTGAGGCCTATCCCACGAACCTGGGGACTCTGTGTAGACATGACCTTCATCTTCCCTGTGACTCATGGATTTTCCGAATGATTTCCATTCTTGAGGTCAGTTTTCTGAGTGGGGTCAACCACTCACACAGGCTGCACTTTCCTTGTAGCGTTCTGAGCCTAGACTGGGACACACCAAGTCCAGAGAAAACCTGTTTCTGGAAACTCGACATTCTTAAATCTTAAAATTGAACCAGCTGGTTTGTTGTGGTTACCACCATACAGGTAAACACATACTCCTGCAGGCACTCCTGATCCTACTTAATGCCTTTCCTTTGCTGAGGGTGGGAAAGAAGGTGAAGGAGAATCTTAGCAAGAGGCCCAGAGAGAAGGGCGGGGCAAGAGTCACATCTGACCCTGCTGGACGGTGAGGTCCTGGGGCAGCTTCAGACAGCACATCTCCTTTCTTCGCCAGAGTCCTGAGGAACATAAGCCTGGTAGGTCTTCTCTCTCCATTTCCCACCAACCCTCTTACTTGCCAGGCCTCCCACCACACACCCAGGAGGCTGAAATCTGAGGAACGATCAAACCCATTAGAAGTTTCCTTACATCCAGGATGGCAGACTCGGGGTGAGGGTGGAAAAGGACGAGACCTGGCTCCCATGATGTTCCTTATCGCTCTCCGAGGTGTCGCCTAGGTGTTTCCTCCTGGCAGAGAACTAAATAGAAGTGTCTCCCCATTACCCTCTACCACCACCACCAGGGGGAAAAAAGATATTAATAAGTCCACCAGTCTACAGATCCTTTAAGTCATTCTCCCAAAAAGATATTAGCCTGGATACAGATAAGCTAGCTAATCTCATGCCCCGTTACCCATTCTGGGCTGTTCCTGACCCAGCTTCTGATTTTGTCAGTGACAAAATGTCTCACCTTTTAAATGCAGGGCTTAACATTTTGCCAGGCCTAGGTGTAACATGACCCCTGATTTCTTTTGCAAAGAGAAAGGTTTAAAAACACAAAGTCATGCTCAGTCGAAACATTGTGTTATTAACAAATCTCACATCCACATAGCTTTTTCCAGGTAGCCTCTGTATCACCATTCTTATTCTCCTCCCCTGTTTTTGTTTGTTTTGTTTTGTTTTTTCTTTTTACCCCCTGCTAAATGTGAGGTTTAGAGTGTTTTCAGAGTACAAAAGCAGTACTTCTGATATATATCCCAGGCCACGCAGTAAGACTGTAATGGAAATGCTGAATGTTTAATGTGTAAAGTCCTAACTTTAAAGTGTACCCTCCTGAGAGCAGGAATGTTGGTCTCTAGTGGAGATCTGGAAACTCTGGGACACTCAAGTTTTCAGTCATCACGAGTCCAAGCTCTTCCAAAAAAGACTCAGAATTAGGAGTTGGGAACTCAAGAAGAGAAAAGAAAGTGGACTGATGAAAATTTTGTCCTAGGAAATAGAATCAGACTGTACAGAAGAAGATAAGATATAACACAGTGATCTCTCTTCTCTTTTAAAAAATGAGGAGCTATTTTTGTGCTCAGACAGAAAGTGTAGTTCAGAGAATCTCTATAGGCAGAGGTCAGAAAAGCAGAATGATTTGGGGTTTCAGTGCCTGTAAAGAGGACAATTTTGACCTGAAACCACACGCTACACTTGGCCATCCCTGGGAGAGGACTCTGTTCTCTAAGCCTAACAGACTGAACAATTTTGAGAATGATCAGTGAACTCAGGGTTGGAGACTGTGGACTTGGAAGAGCCTAGAAGAGAGATGTATGCTTTCATCTTGTGTGAGCTCACAGCACTGTACGTCTGTTTCCCCAAGCTGTGTACAGCCTGTGCCACACTGTGTCATCAGCATGAGAAACAGGTCGTTGCACTTTGAAGAAGCTGGATGCAAGTTTCCTCTAAATATTACAATAGTGGACTATCTTATCCACTGATATTGAGTAGTTATTTGAAACTGGAATGTTAATATTTTGATTAAAAAAATGTAAGGACATAACTATATCTACCTCTCAAGGATGTTGTGAGGTTTTATGTAATTTTGTCTATTGGGTAATGTTACTTTGTTTGTGTGGGGTAGGGTGGGGCGGATTATGTTGGATGGTTGCAAAATTTTCACTGTATGTCCTGTATCTGGATTTAAAGACATGGAAAATATTCAAAGACCAGACTAGGACCATAATAGTAATTCCCTTGCCAGTGGAGGCAACTGACCTCTAACACACAGTTTCCTTCATGTTGTTTTAATGCCTAAGAGTAAAGACTGTGCTGAACCTTAGAACCACATGCTACAGATACTTCATGGCTTTGCAGCCAGGGAAGTAGATTAGCTTTCCTCCCTCAGCATCTTAGGAGTCCTCGACTATTAATTCTCCAAGCAACTTAGAGTTTCTTCAAACTGCCCTCGCTGTCCATCTCTCCATCCACCTCAGTTTAGAAAGCCCGGGGAGCAGTCCCACGATGCCACCCACCTTCTCCCAAGTTCACACCACCCATCTGCGGGGCCTCCTTCATAGTGTGGCCGTAGGTTCAGCTTTGCTTCTTCCTCTCCTAAAGACTGAGAACGAACATCTTAACATGTCAGGAAAATGGGGCGGCCTTGAAAGTGACTGATCCCATTGCCAATGACTCATTTATTCAAGGACTTCTCCACATTAGCAGACAAGGCCCTTTTCGGTGGGCCTGCTTCTGTGGGTTCACAGAAACCAAATGACTGTGGGTTGCAAAGAATTAGCAGGTCATTTGAAAAGCAGACATCCCTTCACCCAGACTGTGGTTTTGCATGCTCAAGTTCTCAGTCTGTGAGCTTTGGTGAGGGATCATTTTGGCTACTGGAAAAACCATAGCTTATTTTTAATTTCTGCTTGCCAAAGCCACCACACGTGTGGTCTGTGGATGACCCTTGTCTGCAGAATGATGAGGCGGGGGAGGGGCGGGGAAGGGACGGCGGTTTGGGGCTCAGGGCAGCCTTCCCACCAGGAGTGAGGGAAGGAGACCTTGCTGAGTGGTTTTGACACAGGCTGTGCCCACAGCACTCTCATCTGGGTTTCTCAGAAATGCCCTCTTTGCTCAGCAATGACCTTCCCTCTTGACTCCTCTCATGTTTTACCTGGAGTCTAGCCGCTTGGAACCCTGTAAGGCGCCCTCCTCCTCTGTAAAGACTATGTAAAGAATCAGCTTCTGAAACGTAGCCATGCTAACCTTGCCAGAACCCTAACGAGTACATCCCTGCGTCAAAGACCACCCTGCTGATAGTTTTCAAGATTTTTCTATCAATGTTTGATTTTTACCCTGAAAAATAAAAAAAAAGTACTGGTGTGTTTAAAATTAGTCATTGTGCCTGCCTCTCATTTTGTAGTTACCGCTGTCAGAAAATGGAAGGGTTTAGTTCTGCCCCCAGGAACATTTTCTTAATTCAGCCCCTCTATTTCTTAAAGTTCCAATGCCCAGCTAAATGGAATTAGCATCAGAATAAAACATCTTGCCTGATGCCTGGCTGAGCCCGCTACTGGCATCCTGCTGCTGGCCCCCCTGTCCCCATGGTGGGGTCCCAGGTGCACTGATTAGTTCACTAACGGGACCCAAGGGGTCCTGGGGGTATGGTGTCTCCCCAAATACCACCCTACCTGCCCTCCCAGCAAGGATTCTTCCTAAAAGATAGGCAAGTCCTGATTTTTCCATCTCTGGGGTCTCAGAAACATCCTCGCTGGGAAACTCAACTTGCAGTTGAACTCAGCCACATTGAAACATAGTCTGCAGGTACTCGGAGGCCCACCTCTAAGGTCTGGGACTGGAGAGAGACCTAGGAGGATGGCCCAGGGATAATGCGGCTCTCTTCCTGGCTAGATATCCTCTGTTCTCTCTCAGAAAAGGTCAGAAAAGCTTCTGAGAGCCTCCCCTCAGCCTCACCCAGAACACCTTCCCCTCCTCTGGGATACAGGCAAGAGGAAGCCATTTCTGAAGTTTTAGGATTGGCTGGCCTGGGCCAGGCTGGTGGCGGCTTTCGCGGGCTCTGTGTCCAGCACCATCTCCCTCGTTTCAGTACCACCAGACTGTCCTGAGGCTCTCCAGCCGGCTTTCCAGTCTCAGCACTAAGGGTAGGGGGAGACGAATGTCATTGCAGCCTGCCTTTGTATTGGAACATGAAATACATTCCAAAAACGGCCCCTCGGTGGCTGATTTTCAGCCTTGGAGAGGATGGTATGTGGCCTTCCCCATCCTCACTTCCTTCCTAAAGCAGAAACAGCTCAGGGAGAAAAGAGAGAGGCGAGGAGACTCCCCCTTTGTCCAGGAGGATGCTCTGCAGCTGGCTGGCGCTGACACTGGGGCCAGGGCTAAATGGACCTCCTTCCAGCCTGAGGATCCTTTACTAATTCTTGGGAACTAAGTTGATGCTTTAGAAGGTGGTGGGCCTGGCAGGTGGAGGGGGGACCACCCCACACCTGCACCCTCCCCCTCCCCCATCACTCAACACAACCAGACCATTCACCCACCTGCAGGCAACTGCCACCCGAGGGCAGACAGGGGGACAAGGACCTAGCTCCCTTCCCTTCCTCCCACCCCCTTGGATCCAGAGTCTGGGAAAAGTGGAGGTGAGAATTCTGGGAAGGCCAGGAACTGAGTGATGGTGGAGGAGCTCTTGCAGTCAGGACCTGACACCAGGTCAAGCTGCAGAGCATTCCCGGTCAGACAGTTGTTTGCATAAAAGCCAAAAGCCACTGCACCTGGGGTGGGGAGGCCCTCTGGGGAGGTACTCCCTGGCTCAGGGGAGAGGGGGGAAGGAAGGTGTCATGGAAAGTCCCTGAAGGACACGGGGTGTTGAATTTGCTGCGGTTTTGTTTTTAACTCTGTCTTGACCTGTGAAGTAGGCAGCTGCCTCCCTTCCCCCAAAATAACAGAACTTCCCCCAGAATAACGTGAACAGAACCAAGGAAAGAGCCTGCAGTGGAAAGAATGGAGGTTAGAGGGCCTGCGGGTGATGTAAATTGCCCCCCTTCCCCAGGACTGAGGGGGCAGGAAGCCCCAGAGCAGTCTTTTCCCATCACCTCGCCTCCCCCCTCAACCCCACCCCCAGGCCCCCTGGCCCAGAAGAGCTGCCTAGTCAAATAAACCACAGCCCTGGGGCGGCTGGTGGATGGGAACTAGGGGGGCAGAAGCCACCTCACCCCCAGGCTGGTCCTTCCATTGCCTTGATTCCCATGCTATGCCCCCCCCCGCCGGAATCACAGTCTCAGCACCTCCACCTCCCTCTCATTCACAAACCCTCACTGCCCTCCCCTAGACTCCTAGGGGGGGTGTGTGTGTATGTGTGTTGGGGGAAAGCAGGCAGAGTCAGTGGATCCAGCAGAGCTCGAAGTCTCAGTAAAGCAAAAGACGGCCTAATGCAAACTCCAGCTGGGCATTTGGACTCCTGGGTTCCTATCCCAGCCCTGCTGGTGACCCTGGGTACTTTGCTTTCCCTCGCTGGGCCTTGATTTACCCCTGGAGTCAGGGATCTCTGAAGCACTTTCCAACAGAGACTTAGCATGGCTCCAGCCGGGCTTTTCCCATAATCCTGAAACAAGAACAGGAGAGGAAGAAGGTCCTGTTCCCCCTTCCTTCTTTCCCCATCAAACTCGGGCACTGGGAGGAAGCAGAGGCGCTGGAGCCAGGGTGATGGCGGCCTATGATTTTCCCAAGTGGTCATAGAAAACTGTTCTATGAAATTCCCATCCTGGCCCACAAGGTGGGGGTGGGGACAGGGAGGTGACAGTGGAATAGTGGGAAACTCTGAATATGGGCAGTGAGGTTGAGACTGAACCCCGGGCCCCTGTCGGCTCTCAGGACTTCCTCTTAACTCTTGGTGGACCCAGTGACCAGATTCCCAGGTTGGGGCGCCTGGGAGAGGAAAGCGAAGGCCAGGCGGAGGGGGGAAGGGGTGCGGTGCGGTGCGAGGTGGGAGTTGAGGGGGGGTGTGAGGGGAGGGGCAGCGGCACTTCTGAGAAACAGCTCTGCGTCTCAGCAGCCCGCAGCCTAACCCCCTGCCTGCGGCTTCACAGCTCGCTCCTCCTGCCGCCCACGCCGCTCGGGGCCTCTCCGGGGGTCGACAGCCCCCGCGGAGGCGGCGGCTGCTGGGGAGGAGCGACAGCTCGGGGGACAGCGGAGTGGAACCCTTGGGGCGGGGAGGACGGGGTGGAAAATGGAGGAAGGCGTGGGTCGCGTGACACCCTAGGAGTGAAAACCCATCCCTCACTGGGGTCCCGAGCGCTGGACCTTGGCACTCCCCGTCGTGTCCCCCCTCCTCCCCCAGCCCAGGTACACTCCCATCACACCCTGAGCAGGATCCAGAAGTGAAACTGCTCAGGGTCACAGCCCAGCGCCGCCGCCGCGCCCGCCCGCCTTCCGGGCACTGCAGCCTTGCAGGATCTCCCAGCGCTCGGGCGACTGCAGGGGAGGAAACTGGAGGAGGGGAAGGGGAAGTGCCCTGCGGGGCAGTCTGCAAGGCGAGGCCTTCTCTCCTGGGGGTGCCCGCTCGTAACCACGAGTGGGAACCTCGAGAGGCGCGGACTTGAACAACGGGAGCAGAGAGGCGCCCGCACTTCACGCCACGGCCACTGGGTGTCACTGCAGCCGCGCGGCTGAGCGGGCTCCGGCCATGGGAGACGGGGCGCGCGAGTTCCAGGGGGCGGGGAGACCCGAGCCCACCGCGCCCGCGAGGCCCTGCCTGGCCTTCGCCCTTGGATCCCCTGAGGTGCCTGGATGCGGTGCTCAGGCCTCCTTACACCTGCCTGTTCTCTACAGGCCTCCACCCAGCCCACCGACTCGCAATGGGGAGCAAACCCCTTTGCCCCGCGACGGATGGGCTCACTGTGTGGGGCCCTCCGAGCCTTCTCCCGCGGGCTGGGGATCGCAGCGCATCCTCGGCGGCGCCAGATGCGGAGAAAGTCAAGCCCCGCAAGCGCGCCCCCTGGCGAAGCGGGTGGGCCTTTCCGCTGCAGAGACGGAGGTGGCTATTCTCACACACATACACACACACTCAGTTTGGGGGAAGGGGTCCAAAATGTGGGAACCTGTATCAGATTGATGGGTGTAAGAGGGCTGTGGGTAGGCCAAGGCTGGAAGAAAGGAGACACCCTGGAATGTTTTGGAAAATTGGGGGTAGTGCCTGCTAGTAATTCCACCTTCTACCTTGTAGTGGATCTAACTCAGGATGAAGGTGGGGCAGGTAGATGCAGAGGAACATGTCCATTGGCTGTGGGTCTTTGGGGTGCACGAGGCCCATTCTGTACCTATGTACAGCGTCCCCTCTAACTCCAAGGTCACAGGGCCCAGCTCCATTACAGAGACCCTAGAGGGATCCATGTGGTGACCCTAAAAGAGTGTGGCATTGGCCTCCCACTCTCCCTCAGACTCCCCAAAACTACCACAAGAGAAACCCAATCCAAGTAAAAACAAACTGCTTACCATGAAAACAGGTACCGTGAGGTCTGGCTAAACAATCCTCCAGCAAAGCAAAGAAAAATCCGCTCCTTCCCGGGGGCAGCTGCAGCCCTGCAACAGGACGCTAGAGGCCATCATAGCTTAACCATGTGGAATTGAATTTCAGGCTTCTCTAGCCTGGTACAGCACAACCCTTCTCAGCTCAAATGGTACCCCAACTTCCCAACACCCCTTCCGGTATGGAGATCATGGGTGAGGGGAGCCTGGGGACCAGCCTCAGCCCCCAGGAACCAACAGGACAGGAAAACAGACTCTGCCACAGACCCTGCCACAGACCCTGCCACTGTGCAAGGTGGACCATCCCCTGACATCTCCGGGCCCCCTTTTCTGCCTGCTGGACTAAATCAATGGTTCAGTAATAGAAGCCTTTTTTCCAAATATACCATGAAGCTGAACTCTCAGATATGAAGGTAGTAGTTCTCCCCAACCCCCACCCCCAACCTGTCACCCAACCCCTGCTGGAACCCTTGGACTCCAGGAAACTATTAGAAAACTGCTCATGTAGACAGTTCAGAAGAAAGAACCCTTCTGAGTGCCCTTGTGCTCCCCAGCCTCTCTCCTTCCCTCCCTCCCTCCTCCGTGTGCCTGGCACGGGAGCAAGAGGAAGGAGCCAGGCAGGGTCACTGACCCGATGTTGAAACCTCAGGCCTGCACCAGGAAGCCTTCCACCAGTGAACTTGGAGGCTGCATAGATTTCATTGACCAGGATGTCTAGGGAGCAGGGAGAGCATGAACTGGCCAGAGCTTTTTCTGTCTTGATGCCGCTCCCAGGGCATCCTAGGAGAGGTGGGCTTCCCTAGAATCATACCCACCCGTTCCCAGAGTCCAGAAAGTTGGCACCAGCCCTCCCTGCCCTCCATACCTGAGCAGGCAGGGAGGCCAACCCTGTGGCCATACCCTCATACAGGCCCATGGTGCTGCCAAGAACAGCTCTGTACCCCAGCACCAGACTCACAGGGCCACCCTAGCCCCAGGAACTGGTGTCCCTGGTGCGCTGCAGGCCACTGAGGGCCTGGCCCCTGCATGTGGGCCCTGTATCATCCTCTCTTGATGCCTGGGTTCTCCTTAGCAAGGGGAGATTATGAGGAATTTCCCTTTTTTCCCCCAAAGTCTTTCTTTTCCTGATTTCTGAAATGTTCTTTAATATGCACATGTATTTTTTTATAATCAAACCCAAGAACTTAATATTGAAAAGACATTATCTGAGACACCAGCCTCTACCTCCTCCACAATGCCCCTGCCTCCCTCCCACCAGTCCAGATTTCCTCATAACCACAAGCCTCCACTAGCCAGCAGTAGCTATCCTTGGCAGTCCCTTCTGCTGTCTGGCCTCTGTGGGTCACATTGCATCCTCAAAGCTGAGGAAGTCTAGCTGCCGATTTCCAGTACTCGCTACTCTGCTCAGGGCTGAGCCAGCTGCTACCTCTAAAGGCCCCCAGGTCCCTCATAGTGGCCAGCACTGAGAAGGGTGAGGACAAGATGGGCTGAGTCTGACTTGTGTTCCTAATTCCATGTCAATTTGCCACTTATAAAATGGGAATGGTATCTGTCTCACATACTCCAGTTAGCTGACTGACATAGAAAAGTTTGGTCCCCTGCCCGGTGCCTCAGGCAGTGAGGGGACACTGTGTCCTGGGTTTGAGTGTGTGTGGGTGTGTGGGTGTGTGTGTGGGCAGCCTAAATCCCTGGATATGCTTAAGAGGTGATTCATTCTGACCCCTGTACTCTCAACCCAGCCTGGACCCCCAGGATCCATGCTTCGGAAGTGGCCCTGGGCATCCGTGGCCAGCCACACAGCCAGCACCAGCCAGCTTGGGCCCAAGGAACAGCCATTGATGGGATGGCTCTGAGAACTGTGGCAGGTGGTGGCAGGTAGCAGGCAGTTGGCTACCCTGTCCCTGCCTCCCCAGGTCCTGCTAAAAAGAAACAAAATCTGCACCTCTCTCATGCCTGGGCTGCAGTAAATCCTTCCGGGAAAATTCCCAGTAAGTTTCAGGTTGAGAATGGAGGATGCCTTTCTGCCCACCTCTGTCTGACAGACCTGGCTCTCCAGCCTGGGATTAGCCAAGGATGGGGGTGTCTCGGACCCGAGTGGCTGCCTGGGCTGCCAAACCTGGCCCAAGGGCTGGCTATGGTGGCTGGTCCTTCTCAAGGTCATCTCAGAGCCACTACCTCCCCACTTTACCCCCAGCCAGAGACCAGGGCTGCAGAGAAGGGGTGGGCTCTCCAGGGGACGACCCCCTACAGGCCACTTAGGAATTCTGCCTGGAAGTCAGCCAGGCAGGGGTCGCCAAACAGCACAGACCTGGGTTGAAATCCTGGCTCTCCCACTGATTGGGGCCGGTCTTCCCACTGACTCACCCATTTCCTTGCCCACAAAACCAAATCCCAGCACCTCATGTCCAACCAATCTCAAAGATTTGGGGAGACAGTCTCCATTACATTTTTTAAATTTTTATTATAGAATTTTCAAGCTTATACAAAATTGGAGAGTAATGTAATGAATCCTCATGAACCCATTACCCAGCTTCAAACATCAAGTCACGGTCAACCCATGACTATACTCACACTCCCCCTCACCTCTGGGGTTATTTTATTTTTTTGGGGGGGGGTGTTTTAAAAGCAAAGCTGAGACATCATTTTACCCATAAATACTTCAGAATGAATCTCTAAAAAGTAAAGACTTTTTGAATTTGTTTTGGGGGGGTTTTGGGGGGGAGGGGAGATAATTTTTTAAATTTTTATTTTATTTTTTAAACTTTTTATGAGGGGAAGTTAATTAGGTTAAGGTTTTTTTTTAAATTTATTAAAAAGGTCCTGAGGATTGAACTCAGGACCTTGTGCATGCTACGCACACACTCTACCACTGAACTATAGCCTCCCCCGAAAAGTAAAGACTTTTTTAAAAAGCCATAACCACACTACTATCGCCCCTTAAAATTTAAATTGACCTTAATTCCGTCATATTATTGAATATCTCATCAGAGTTCAGATTTCCCTCATCGTTCATGAATTTTTTTAAAATTCTATTTTACTGAGTTATAGTCACAGTTATAGTTTACAATGTCATGTCAGTTTCCAGCATAGAGCACAATTTTTCAGTTGTACATGAACATACATATATTCATTGTCACATTCTTTTTCACCGTGAGCTACCACAAGATCTTGTATATATTTCTCTGTGCTATACAGTATAATCTTGTTTATCTATTCTATATATACCTGTCAGAATCTACAAATTTTGAACTCCCAGTTTGTCCCTTCCCATCCCCCTCTCCCCTTGGCAACCACAAGTTTGTGTTCTATGCCTAACTCATGAATTTTTTTTATAGTTCATTAGTTTGGATTTGAATCAAATAGGTCAACATGTTATATCTGGCTGATACATGTCTAAATGTCTTGAAATCGAGAGAATAGCCATCTTTTTTCTTGAAATTTTTGTTGTTGTTGAAGAAACTGGGTTATCTGTTCTATAGTTTCCCATTCTGGATTTTGGTAATTGTATCCCCATGTGTATTGCATCCCATGTTCCTCTGTTCCTGATATTTCCAACAAACTAATACTTGAGCCCAGGGGGTTTCAATTCGTGACAAAAATAATGCCTCATGGGATTCACGTGTCTGGAGGGGGAGCCTCTGTGATTTGAAGGTTGAGCAGCAGGTTCAGGTGTTGCCAATCCAATACCTTTCTTATAAAGCTCCCCCATCATCTAAGAGCTAAAACCATAAAACTCCTAGATATAAACAGACTGATATGGGCGGTGGGCAGAGGCCAGAACCAGCAGGGTCTATCTGCACTTAAGTGAAGGTCTGGGAGAGCAGGCAGATTGATATTTTGGAAAGATCTCTCTGGATGTTGAAGGCCAGACTGGGAAGAAAAGCCAGGCTCAGAAGGCTGAATGCTGTGGGATCCCATAATGGCTTTCTGGAGGGGGTAGAAATGACGGTAAGGACAGAAGGCAGATCTGGGGTTGGGGAGGAGGGAGAGGGGTTGAGGCAGGCGCGCTGCACAGGGACCTGCGGGAGGTAAGGTAACAAAGCCATTATGTGACTTGCTGGTGCTGGAGGACACATAACTGTGTTTGTCTCATTATCCCACCAGGCAGCCCAGGACTTGCCGAGGCTACGGATGCTGTCTGACCCATCTCCAACTCCCAGGCCCTGTTAGAGGGGTCCCCATAACTTGAGGTCCTGCCAGAAAATCTCACCTGGATGACAATCCCTTGTCCATTCACTCATTCAAGAAGCAATTCTTGGACACCCAGTTCCATGCTGGGCACTGGAGACTCTCAGATGACCTACGGCACCTCAAGAAACATCCAGGCTGACTGGTGTGTACCCTCAATCACTCTGACACATTCTCGAGGCCTCCCCATTTCTACTCCAGCCAGCCAGGTCTTGCCAGACAGAACTCACAAGTGTACCAAAAAATAATCTTTATTGTCACTAGTATAAAACAGAGAAGGTCAACTGGCCTTGCAGTCTGTACGAAGTGTGGGGCGTAAAGACCGCCTGGGCTGCCCCCATTTCTCCCATAATGCCCCGCCCCAGAGCAGTGCCCAGGAGCTCTGTGAAGGGGAGGGGGCCACCCAAGGGCCTTCCCTTCAGAAGTTAAGGGTGGCCTGGGCGGGGAGCACTTTCTGCCTGAGGGAGGCAAAGGAGCAGGGGAGAAAACCGGAGTCGGGGAGCCCCC